AACAGTTAAAATGGGACTGGCTTGGAGTTCTTATAAGTCGAAGAGAAAAGAGAAAAAGGACCACAAAAGGTAAGTTAATTTTTATGCTGCCCAAACGAGTTTTCGCGATTTGAAAAAAAGGCCACAATTCAAAATGTTTCACTAGTATTCCCTGGCAGCGCATTTGACTTTTGTAAAAACAAAGTGCCTAGTCGACAAGAAAATTATGTTAACAAGTCAATAATCAACTCTTTGTGTCAAACAGAAAGCTGAGAAAGCAGTTTAAAAGAAGCAGAGGAGTGTATTGCTCGTCTCCAGGAACAACTGCAGCTTGAAAATGAGTAAGTTTGTTATTTTGTAGGGTGTTCGGCTTGAGGCCTACTGCGGCAATTTTAATTACACGAAGAGCATTTCTGTGTTTATCTTTTTCTTTCTCTTTTTGTTCCTCGTGAAAAAGTCATTCTAGACTGCAATCCCCAAAGACAAGAAGCGAGTTTAAGACGAGAAGGGACCGGGAAGAGAAAGGGTGCGGCGCACACGAGAGGATAAACCATCGTTCCAATCCCTTCTAGCCGGCCCTTTCGAGTTTGTTAAACGTTCGCGGGAGCCTGATAAAAAAGATCAATAGCAGTTAGTCTGAAGTCACTATTGTTGGTAGAGCTGTTCGATTTTTCTATTCCAAGGCCCCCGCGTCGGTTAAGGAAATCGTTGGACGCTGGGAACGATAATGATAAGAAGTGCGGGAACACGTCTGAACACTAGCTTATATATGGTTTACTCAGATAATAATCTCCTCGCTTCCGTCTTATCATTTGTAGGAAAGTGAGACACTCTTAAAACAAAAAAAGAGATTATTTGTCCTCTCTCATAAACTAAGGTGTAAATGTCCAGTGTAGTAAAAAGCGGTTCTTTTTCTTTTCATGTTTCTATAGATTACTCGATCAATATCAAAGTTGCCTCCATACTGACTCAGTTCCTAACACTGAGACTGCCAAAGCAGACTGCATGGTGGCTGAAATGGAGGAAGAGGTTCAAGCTTTAGAGCGAAAGCTTTTCCTTGAGGAACTTGCAGTTAATATTACAGACGAGCGATGTAATTTTCTAGACAGGAACTTCAGGTAAGTGTATGTTTCTACTAAATCATTTGAACTTTTATTTCAAACGACATACGTTGGCTTATGGCAACCAACGGAGGAACAAAAAATGTGATAGGAAAATGGCGGGCACGCAAATTTGGGTGCAATGAATGCGCTTTCCAGTCTTATCCAAGCGCTATTAGGCTTGATGCTACTTTTTGTAATAAAAAGTATAAACACAATTAAAACCCACTTGAAATTAGCTACATTTAGTAGTCTCTCGTAAGATTCGTAACGCAATATTTCCAGTTGTCAGTTACACACCGACCACTTCCCGGCTTCAACTTCGCCGAGCTGTAAAGTTATCTAAGTTAAATTGCTTAACCGTTTTGTTTCTATTTCTATACAGACTTCTCCAGGACAATGAAATTAGCCTTCAAAGGCAGAGTTCAGTCTGTGAAACAGACCTGGCAGCGTTAAAACTAAAACAGGAAGCTTGTCAATTTGGTCATTTTCTACACGCAAATCCAGTGGAAGAATGGACTGTCTGCTCTCTTCCTAATCTTTACTTCAGAGACTTGTAAACAGAAGTCTTGTGAACTTGCTAGTAAAACCAAAAGAAGTGAATTGTCTGTACAGTTTAAGAAAGTTTTAGGGAGAAGATCAGTTTGTTTTATTTTTATGAAGACAAATTTGATGTAAATGCCTGTGTAAATAGTATGTCATTAAAATAATTAATATGTTCAATACGACGAATTATGAAACTGCATGTTTCTTGTGTGTTACTAAGTACATGCAGTTAAACCTGTACAGATGAACCTTTTAATGAAGAGGCTTAATTACACTGAGAATATCGGAAAACAAGAGATGGACGAGACTTGCTCCAAGATGATCGTTTGCTCGAGTATTTCATGAAGACGGGACCTTTTTGACTTGCGCTCGGCACACACGAAGTGAAAAACTTTGCACTTTGTACACGCGTAAACTAGCGCTTGCTCAATGATGGATCAAGGTAATCTATTTCAAAAAGAAGCAAAAGAACTTTGTCATAAAACTCGTAACGATCAAATTGGCGCAAGTCTAGTGACGGAAATACTACATAACTCAAAGATTATATGTCAGTGAGGTCGTGAATTTGCAGCCAGATTAACCAAGAGTATTTCCTGATGCCGTATTCTGACGCGATAAGTCAAAAATATGTTTGGTCATTTGTGATAGCTTAAGGTCCCGTGCGCGCTAACAACTTTGTCAATTTTGAGACCTGCGATAACGTGTCGTTATTTGTTCGAAGTGACTCAAGGGCCCGGAGGGGGAACTCCTATATAAGAAAGACAGGGATGCTCTTCGTACATTTAAGGGATTAAAAAAGCGGTTTCGTACCACTTAGGTTGCTCAGCCTTTGAAGGTCCACACCGGGAGCTTTTGCGTTACCTTTAGGGCATTGTCAGTGTCAGTTAATGCGCAGCTTTAGAATTAGTACCTTTTAATTTTTGGGATGAAAGAAATTTCAAGCCACGCCCACAAAACATTATTCCTAGGGGTTCTTTTCGACATTTCCGACGAGCGCCCCATCCTTTTTATATGGGAGTTCCCCCCCCCCCCCCCCCCCCCCCCCCCCCCCCCCCCCCCCCNAAAAAAAAAAAACGCCTGATCGCAGGTCATTTATTTTGTTAATGTCAATGTAGGTCTTCAGCAGCAGGGGGCCGCCCATAAGTTATAAGCTCCTGTCCGACTTTTATCCGACAACATTCCCGTCCCTAGAACCCTAGTTTCTTCTTGTCGCACGTTGCAACTTAGAGAACAAGTCAGTTTTCATGTTTCCAGACCTTTTTCCAGTTCTCCTTTCTACGAAGGATATTTAACTATCTATTTTGCCGAGTTGTTTCATGGATAGAACCTAACAGAAATTAGGACAGAACATGCATGGGTGTCCCCTCCATTACTAGAAGGTTATTCACCTGCTAAGCCAAAAGCACCAATTGGCACCGCTGTCTGCCAAACGTCCATGCTTGAGCACGCTCTGTGCTTGGTCTTGTTTTTCTTTGCATCAAGTCTCTTTTCGGAATTACCAGACAAAGGAATATTAAAGAAATGTCCATATTTTGGACAGGAAGCTTCAGTGATAAATGATTATCAGTCACCGGTAATCCAACTGAATTCTAACCAATGCGCATCCAATATTAAATAACGAGCGTGACAGCCCTGGAGTGGACTGAGTAACAGCCGAGTAGCCTGAGTACCAGTCCAGTAGCCTGGAACTCACGGTAAAAGGACTAAACGAAAAGAATCTACCCGAAAGCGGTTCTTTCTCAGGCTGGAGGTATATAAAAGAATAAGGTTTTCACGAGTTGATTATAGAAACGAGGTAAGAAAAACTGTCACTTTATATTAATGATTTGCGCGTTTTTATGACGTCTCGGGTTTCGCAACTTTTTGACCAAAAAAAAATTCAGGTTTTCTCGCAGTTTACCTGTAGCTCTTTCGATTCTCCCGAGGGAGGACTACACTACAACATTTTAGCTTTCTGCTATTATTAATAAAGTAAACTGGGACGATAAAATGAGTTTAACAATTTTCGATCTCTGATAACGCATTTTAAGCTTTCCGACCGCTTCAGCGAGTGTCGCGATCGGATTTTAACAGTCACTATAGCTTTTTTCAGAGCATTTCGGTCGTTCCGCCTGCGAGTATTGTTGCTATAGGGCAAGTTCTCTCTGTTTCGTAGGTGAGACGGAAAAGCAGTCACTCTTAATTCACGCCAAGAGAAGACCAAGGTGAGAGGGTTAATCCCAATATGGGCTTTATACCTAAGCCGGTAATTGCGCGGATGTTCCCCGCCCGATGCGTGGACAGATTATGATTACATTTTGCATATTCTAGAGAAGGTCAACTACGACGAATTTTGGCGCTATCTTACATATTCAGTTTGGGATAGCTCTGACAGTGATAGACAAACTGAATGAATCGGATGATCTTCCGAAGTGTTCTAAACGTCTAATTATTATCCTCCGCTATTTTCGGGCGAACTAAAGACTAAGGACGATCTAAGTAGAAGGACGTGTCTCATTTTCTTTGCGCACTCCCCGCCGGGCCAGGTCAATTTCTTTCTCTCACCCAAGCTTCCCTGGTTTCCGAGACCAAAACGCTCTCACTCACTAAAAATATGTCTGCACTGCAATATACACCTTTACTCTCTTTACTCTCTAACACTATGTATGACGGGCAAGTCAATAAAACCAGCAGTTAATTGTGGACACTGGTTGTTCGAAATGTAGCTTTATTCCTTATCAAATGAGTCATACATTAAAATTGACGACGTAGCTTCTTTACGTTAAATTTATAACCTGACAATATTATATCCCTACGTTGTTCGTTAGCTATTTGGGCACATAAGCTTTCTAAAATTATATTCATCACATAAATAGAGACAACTAATTTTAACTTTATGTAGCTATAAAGGCATATTTTAATATGTTAATAGTGTCCCTAGTAAGGTTTTTTAACCTAAATATCATTGACACTTAAATAAAGTTTTTCGTTCGTTTGTTCGTTCGTTCGTGCGTGCGTACATGCGTGCGTTCGTTCGTTCATTCATTCACAAAAAAAGTATTGACCATCTTGAGTTTACAAATCCTGAGAGATTTAGACAACTTCAAAAAAGTACTGTGAAACGCATAAGGGTGAGCATTTTATAAAGTACTGTGTTCTTAAAAGTAAGATTCTCTGCAGCTTGGCGCCTGTTTTCTCTATCCTCAAAATGGTAGTACAGTCGAACCTCCGGTTTCGACCACCTCTCCTCAGCGACCATTTCTCCAAAATAGTGAAGTTTCCAAATCAAATCGCTATATTTGGAACCTCTTGTAAGCGACCACCTCTCGTTAGCGACCACGACCACTTTTAGAGCTATAAGTTTAAAATTTTCTTTTGTTTTCAACCTCCCATAAGCGACCACTTGACTGATAATAGAGAGGAAATTGGATAATAAGGTGTTATAACATTATCCGTATTCCTGGGTAGTACAAAAAAGACGGAAATATTTCAGTGGGAAACCGGATTTGGTCTCGAAATTGACTTTTTACATGAATAAATTGTTTAAAACATGGGGTAAGTCTCTGAAGTTACAATATGCTAATGTGGCAAAATTTTGATCCACTATGGTCCAAGCTCCCGTAGGCGACCACCTCCCGTAAGTTACCACCTCGACTTGACATTTTGGGTGGTCGCTTACGGGAGGTTTGACTGTAGTTTCTTTGTTCTCCGACCCAAGCATAGCGGTTGGGACAGGCCGGTTGAGGTCCTGGAAGACGATTAGACATTTAAAGCGGGTATTTTCCGCTTTATCAATACACCGTAAAAGGTAAATAAGAAATGCTATGTGGTAAACTCCTAAGAATTCTCAATCTCAAACTGACTGAAGCTTCGGCAAGCATTCCTAGGTGCGGCTCTCTCCAGGCTCACTCTAATAGTTGTAAGTTTCCAAAAGTCTCCGCTTCTTCCACTCCCCTAATGTGATTGGCGGATATTTGTTTGAGCCATCTATGCATTCAATAAGCGTCTCATGGTCTGGATCAACAAATAATACTAACGAGCGGCGAGGAAGAGTGTGCTTGAGTTCAGTCTCTGGAATCAACACACGGTGGACCTGCAATAGATAGGTTAGTAGATCAGTAACAAGGAAATGGGAGGAACTTTACTGGCCCAATATCCTTTATAAAATTTGCTCAAGAAAAGAAACGTCGAGAAAGAGTTTTACATTTTGAGGAAATAAGTGAAAGATAAACTTTCAATCACATTGAACCTGTCAGGCTCCTAGCTATATATAGAGATTAATTATTATTTTTTTAAGCCTATGTTTGGAGCATTCTCCTGAGCCCACTTCCAAAGCAAAAGTGACATAAAAGGGGGCTAATTCGCTACGAAGTCAGGCTCACGCTCAAAATGTCATCTTTGCAAAATTCGCTTGGGCGGTTAAATAAATAACCATTGTGAAGTTCAAGTTGATAATTGGCCAAAACAGTCTAAATCAAATACCGTGGACTTGAATCTATCAGCTGTCCATCTCTGCATCATGTCAGCAATATTTACCAGTACTGTTCCTTTCATTGGTTTTGCTGCTACAAAGTTCCCATCCACGTTCCTTACCTGCCATCGGAAAATGGTTGAGAAGGAATTTTGGCATTCTGATAAGAATTAGAATAAAACTGCAGCAGGTGTACTACTAAATATTATATGTATTACGTGTATTCAACAAAATTTCATGGACGCCATTCAGGGTCAGAATGCCCATGTTGCCCTCGTTCTGGTGCCCGTACATTACCGATATCCTGTGTGCAGTATACGTACTTTTCCAAGATTCGTCCGACACCATTTATACCTAGCCGCCGTATCTTTTGAACGTTTCGGCGGCATTTCAGATGAGTTTGGTCGAGCCTTGTTTTGTATTTTGGCATGACTAAGACCAAACGGGCCTGATATTAAGCCTAAACATACCAAAAAAGTAACGATTAGATGCAGTGGAATTTGTTTACTTAAAACATGGAAGACTGCCCACTGTAAAAGAATCACATCCTGTTGTGTGAAAGAGCACAACAAGTGGTAGAACACTACACCGGTACCGCAGAGGTGAAAGGTTCGAATCTCGTTCAGGCCTGAATTTTCTTCAGGCTTAAATTTCATGTCTTCAGGTCTTTCTCCGCAGTTCAAATGTATGATCTTTCATACATTCGCTTGTATAATTCTATTTCAGCGTGCTTTTGAAAAACTCGGACAAAGTCGAAAAAACGTAAAACAAGCGATTTTTTTGCGTTCTTGACTACATTGTACATATACCTCTAGGCCACCTATCTCGTCTTGAAACAACACTGTAATAGCGCCATAGTCTGTATGTTCCCCACATCTGATCTGCCCAGGCTTCACTCTACTCATGTCTGGTATCTTAGGATAAAAGTTGTATCTCATTTGGACTCCACCCTTGAATGTACCCGCCTTGCTGAAGAAACGAGTGAATGTGTCGTGCTCCTGAAAAGGGGGAAAGAAAAACTCTAGTAACCTTCTGAAGCACAAGCTAACTCACATCCCCACTGTGGTGCGTGGGGGGCAGGATGGAAACGCCCTCCCCTCGGATTTTCCTTCCGTTAAGGGCCCATTAACCGATCTTTTCGAGCCGTTGCTAAGGAAAATTTAGTCTCATNTTGTTTAGCTATTATTTTGTTTGGTCAATTAGAGCAAACCTTGTAACAATGCAGGCCAGCCCAAAATTAACTCAAACCATTGCTGTGATATGATAATGTTGTTCCTTGGTAATAGAGAGTATAATCAGTAAAGGGAGCTACTCACAAATTAGCCAAAATATAATTGGCATTTAAGAGCATGTTTATGAATAATTGGAACTTTAAGATAAGATTTTAGACACACAACTCACAATTTGAAGACCAATTGCCATCACAGTGAGCACTCTTAATGCGAGATCCTTCATTGACTGGTAAAAAGAGCTCACAGTGCTCTTAAAATTTGGTACTTCTGTATCGGGCCAGGCCTATAAGAGAATAAATTATCATTTTTTAATTTAGAGTAAAATTCATAATGGCATTTTTTTTTGCATCAATCAATGAATCAATCAATCAACTTTTATTGCACACTACTTACAGAGTTAATTTACATTAGCATAAAACAAATATGAGAAGAGAAAAATACGTTGTATATGGCTAGGGAAAGAATAAAAAATATGTGCAAGGTTTCATAACAATTTCACCCAAAGCAATCAATTCCATTCCTACAATACTAGAAATTCTCAGAACTACCATCTACCGTATTGTCGAACAAACATTAAGAAGTTTTTGCCCTATTTTGAAGGACCTAAGTTTATTAATTCACTTGACAACGAGGTCACCAACTCTCAATCCCTTTCCTCTTTTAAGAAAATACTGAAGATTANTATTATTTTGTTTGGTCAATTAGAGCGAACCTTGTAACAATGCAGGCCAGCCCAAAATTAACTCAAACCAACTGCTGTGATATGATAATGTTGTTCCTTGGTAATAGAGAGTATAATCAGTAAAGGGAGCTGCTCACAAATTAGCCAAAATATAATTGGCATTTAAGTGCATGTTTATGAATAATTTGAACTTTAAGGTAAGATTTTAGACACAACTCACAATTTGAAGACCAATTGCCATCACAGTGAGCACTCTTAATGCGAGATCCTTCATTGACTGGTAAAAAGAGCTCACAGTGCTCTTAAAATTTGGTACTTCTGTATTGGGCCAGGCCTATAAGAGAATAAATTATCAGGTTTTAATTTAGAGTAAAATTCATAATGGCAGCTTTTTTTGCATCAATCAATGAATCAATCAATCAAGCAATCAATCAATCAACTTTTGTTGCACACTACTTACAGAATTAATTTACATTAGTATAAAACAAATATGAGAAGAGAAAAATATGTTGTATATGGCTATGGAAAGAATAAAAAATATGTGCAAGGTTTCATAACAATTTCACCTAAAGCAATCAATTCCATTCCTACAATACTAGAAATTCTCAGAACTACCGTCTTCCGTATTGTCGAACAAACATTAAGAAGTTTTCGCCCTATTTTGAAGGACCTAAGTTTATTAATTCACTTGACAACGAGGTCACCAACTCTCAATCCCTTTCCTCTTTTAAGAAAATACTGAAGATTAAATTATTAAGAAAACATGAATAACAGTTTATTATAAATCTTTCAATTTTTGACTTTCGCCATCTTTTCTTCAACTGATGTTAAACAGTTCTAGCCCTATAGTTTCTGTTAGGTCTCCTCGCCACTTCTTTCTACTTTTCCTATATTATTTGTAATTTCTATTATTGTGTGGCAAATAATAATAATAATAATAATAATAATAATAATAAT